TGTCTTCATATAGTCTGACGTGATCCCTACACATTATTTGTAATTGAGTTCGTCATCTGAATTCTTTAATTAAAATTGTCTCTAATTTCATCTTTCAAGTCTTCATACTTGATAGATTCATTTAAATTCAACGTGTAAATCTGGTAAAGTTAAGAGTTAGACGGATCCTAACGTCTTAACCGTAGTAAACCGCAGTTAGTAATTTCGAGTAGAGACTTGATAATGTGACCACCTTGAGTTGAAGAATTCTATGGTGACAACATAAAAAGACATAAAAGATATAATAAAATACTCAAGATGTTTCACATATTCATAGCATTCTAGGATTTAGTAATAAAGTTGATATTGTTTTCTTTAAAATATGAGAACTGGTCTACTGAAAATGAATGAACATAATGAATTCTAAATGAACCTATAAGACCAAAAATATTAATCATTTTTCTAGCCTTTTTAATTTTATCCTTTGCTATGGTTAGAGAAGTACCAGTTGGTGAATATCTCTGAATCTCCATATTTAACTTATGTCATGCCTTCTTCTACTCTTATTCTATTAATTTATTGAGACGATTAATTACTACTAAGCTAAATTCGTAATAGTAATAGATGGCATAAGAATCGGCCTTGCTGACTTTTGAGATAATTTTTATAGAATTGTTGAGGGCTGATTCTGAGGGATTACTTCTGATAAATTGCTATCAATTTCCATCACTTCAGTTAACATCTCATATATAAAAGCTAACAATCTTTCTTCTTTACTCATATTTTTCCAACTGAGTTTTTCAAGCTCTTCTCTATTACGCTCTTGACACACTAGACATTGTTTTTTGCGGACTGAAAATGCAGGGCAACAACTAAGGTGAAAGTATGACCACATTGAAACATCACATGTGAGTTTATAATTTTTCTTTTGCAATCCAAACAAGGTTCAGCTCTCTAGGGAGGTTCAGAGAAAAGATGGTGAGCCACTCTATAACCAAACTCATTAGAAATAATGTGATTGATTCCTAGAATACCATTAAGGTGAAAAAAGTCTATGTTAACCTATTTATAATTACGGTGCCATGGTAAGGGTTGAATTGATAAGCCGGGCAAGAAAATAAGTTAGCATACCATATCATAAGATAATCATGAAAATTCTTCTCACTATCAACCAATAGAAGCAGGATCTATCGATTAATCATATTCGTTATATATAATACACTTTGCTTATCATTATATATGGTATCCCTTCGTCTGTAACGCAGGCAAATTTGCCTGCATAAACATAGTAGCATGTGAAAGTCTACAGACGAAGGGATAATAAATAAGCGATTAGTAAAAAAATAATTTTCTCTTTTTTATTTATGATCGGTTATTATTACATCATGGGAGGGGGAATATGTGTAAAAAAATACATGTGAAAATAAAATTCGACAAGAATTTTACCGAATATCTGCGCATTTCAGGTGATCGGTCCCACATTATTATCGGACAAATTTAAAATAGACCTCGCGGGGAAAGATCTAATTCGTGCTATTTTTGATTTACCAATACTATCGCTATTAAAAAGCTTATAGACTTTCTCGGTCTTCGCAATATACTCTATTTTTAGTGATATTTTATGGGCGCAGATCGGTTTGACTTATTCCGTGATATAAATCAGTTATTTTATTCATTTCATTTCTGAGCTTGCATTTTTAATATATGACGTACTTATTCTAGCAACAACATTTAAAATCAAAGCTAACTATATTCAAATTATTACTGATAAAATAACTAAGGATTCTAGTTATAACTAACTTTTTTTTTTTTTTTTTTTTTTTTTCAAAATTACAGACTTGCCAACATCTTCCTTATCTTTCAAATCTTCATCATTTCCATCCGATAGATGGCGCTTTACCAATCGTGTACTTGCTTCATGGAAGTCATTGTAATGCTGGCTGATTCGGCGATATCCTCCAAGAACTACAGAATCCTAGAATTTTCGAGAGAAATTTAATGCAACCATAACCATAAAGCAGGAAAATTTAAAAAAAAATTCTTACCTGCGCGATTTCTATTTCTTCTTTTACGACGTCTTTCTTGGTAAGTAATTTGGTTAATTGTGCTACTTTTATTCTACGGATCTTCTTCATCGTTCGCGGTGTCTGTTGTATCTGATGAAATGATATGTTTATTAACTAATGTGGAAATAGTTATACAAAACATTAAGTTGCCCATAAAGCATGTGAAACAGCTGGAAGATTGCACTTTCGGAGATGAGGGAGCACCTCTTCTCACAAGATAACATCTCGCCACGCAAGGATACACCTTGTAGTAAGAGAACACACTATCTCTAAACTTTTATTTGCTAAAGTGCAATCAGACACGAAAATTCCTCTGGGGTGTTGAACTAGTATATAAACGAGGATCCACCCACTAACTAAGCATAAAGCTAGCCTACAAGCAAACAGCTCGCCTACAAGCAACAGCTCGCCTACAAGCAAACAGCTTGCATAGATAATCAGTCCTCAAACTGTATCTTCCTAGTATCCTAGTGAAACAAGTAACATTTACCTTAAGTTGACCCTCTAAATGTGCCAGACGTAGTTGTGCGGGGTGATCTTCTGAAAATAATTGTTTTAAAACCTCGATCTCCTTTTTAAATGAATCATGGGCGCGATCTTTTTTTACATCGTGTAGGTGTTCCGAAAATTCATGGAGACTCGGCCATTTATCGTAAGGTTTGTTCCAAAGTTCTGTAAAAATGCGAAGGTGAAATCATAAGTAAAGAAATATCAGTAATAAATAATATGTTTGCAAATCTTACCATAATAGCGAAGGAGTTGGCAGGCATTTTCGGGTAGGTAAGTGTCTTTCGGAATACTCCTAGAAGTTGACGGATTCACAATAACTTCAGCATCCTCATTCTGAAAAGGTAACGATTTCTGGACTGTTTGTGTGAATGGAGGAGAAAAAGCCGAATAAGTTTGGAATATTCGATATTATCAACAAATTATGACGACGAAGCAAGATTTAATCTATATCAGAGTTGATATCTTTTTTTATTTCAAAGCACTTACCAATGGAAACGGAGTTTTCTACAATAACTTGGGGTGGTGTTTGGTAACAAGAAGGTGGAAGGATATCGGACGTCGAAATTAAAGACCTTAAGTAGGTACATTTCTCGTCCTCCGTGTCCACATCATCAAGGCATGATAGCGCGTCAACTCGCCTATTTTCGTTTCCAGTAAAGTAGCTTAATAATTTTATTTTTTCGCCTGAAACAATCCCGAGGCGTTTAATTTCTCTTTTTAGATTGGTAAGTGAATCGGAACCAGACATGTTTTGGATGGGGGGCAACTTATTGTTACACATATCGCCAGATTCGAAATTTATAAAACTGGTTACACAATCTATATATACAGCTCAAGCACCCTAGTCGCATCAAGTCTTAAAATAGCCATATATTTCAAAAAAAGAAATATTAATTTAAAAATTCATCATACTTTAATAGATCAGATCACGGGCTATAAAAGTATGATTTAATTTTTCAAATTAGATCCATGTATAAGAAGTTATGTGCATTTTACTTCAGCAAAAAATTATATGTACATATATAAAATATCCTCAATTTTGGCCACCAAATTTTAGGTTAAAAATTTAATTTTTAATACTTTTTAACTAAATTTCCATTGAAAGATGCGGTAAAATTATCAGAGATCAACATAATTATAAATTTGAACAATGCATATGCAATCATATGCAATTTGCTTTTCGCAGTTCTATTTTAAAAAATAAAGTTTGATGACCAGTATATCAAAGAGAAAAAAACACATAAAAAAACTTGCTAAAAAAAAACAAAAAAAACATGTTCAAATGGCCAAAACAAAGAAAGTTTGTAGGAAATTTTTCGTGATGCAGAAAATGATGAAGAAATTATATGGGAAGATGATAATTTGGATGATAATCGAGAAGATTTGATTCAAATTTTAATGGATCAAATGCGGAATTATGTCCCATTGAACCGCAAGTCAACTTATACAGGAAATTCTGCAAGAACTAAACGGAGACATCGTGCTCAAGCAAAAAGGGATGCTGAAAAAAATGGGCAAACAATTGATCATTTTTTTTCTATTACAAAATCTAATGAAAGTGATGAAATAAGCGAAGAATCTGAAGATGAACCCAATGATGATGATGATTATTCCTAACAAGTAATTAATTCTCTTGAAACATAACTAAAAGAAAAGAATTTAGATGAAGGTCACAAATTAAGATTAATTGCTATATTACAATATATGCGACTTCTTGAATTTCAAGATTCTAAACTAGAAGCTAGTCTTAGTATTATACGACAACTTAAAAAGGACCATAGTTTGCTCGATGTCTTCGTTTATGGAGTCACATGCTACAAAATGGAGAGTCTATCCCATTTTCTAAACGAGGAAAGTATTGTAAGGTAAAAAGTTTACTTAATGATGAAGATATTCAAATGCAAGTTACAGTACTTCTTATTTGCGAGAAAAAAAATTTGAGTTTTATGTTGCTGATTTTGTGGATTATATTACAAATACTATTTTCCCATCACTTGGTGTTGAAACAAAACAACAATTAGGTAAATGTTTTACTTTTAATTTTTTAATTATTAAATAATATTTATTATTTATAATTATTCATTATTAGCGAAACTACTGCAAGAAATTGGCTTAGGAAAATAGGTTATTATTATAAAAAAATATCAAAAGGGAGTTTATGTGGATGGCATTAAAAAAAATATATCAGAAGAAAACAGAAGTAATTATGCATTGAAGAAACTTGTTAGTATATTTTTTTTTAAAAAAAAAAAACTTATAGAAAAAACTTTAAAAAAAAGGTTAAAAAAAAAGGTTAAAAAAAGGGATAAAAAAAGAATAAAAAAAGTTTAAATAGTATAATATAAAATAGTATATTAAATTAACTTCTATTTTTTTTATCTTTTGCAAAAAAAAAATTGTTAAATTAATAACTAATTAATATTTTTTTATTAAAATTACATTATTATAAAAATAAAACAATGTATAAATGTAATTTATGTGAAAGAGGTTTTTCACAAAAGATGAGTCTTACACAATATTTTAATCAACTTCATCCATATAATTAACAATCATGAACACTAAATTAGATAAAAAACCAGCAAAAATTACAATCTTTAAATGATAACATTTGCAAAGAAAATAGCCATGCTGAAATAAATGAAATCATTAGAACACATGATTTTTCACCATTAGATAATCCAATTTTATCTTCTTTATCATAAACATCACGTCCTGAAAATGAAATTTTCATAGAAAAGAAAAATGTAATTAATGAAAGTACTATTGAAGATGATGAGAGTATTGAAGAGAATAAAATGATTGAAGATGATAAGAGTATAGATGATAATGATGATAATGAAAGGATCAAAAGTGATAATAAAAGAGTTGATAGTGATAATGAAAGCAAATTATCAAAAGATGATAGTAATTATGAAAGTGAAAGTTCTGTTGGTGATATTAAAGATTTTTATAGTAGAAGTTTTATTACTGCACTTAATATTTTAAATAATTATAAACAAGAAACAATTACATAGCTAAGTCAAATATATAAGGAATTTATGATAACCATAATGAAGTATTATATTTCAGATGCAATAGGAGATGTGATATTACAAATAATAAAAAAGAGTTATAATGAATCACTATCTGCTTCTACATGAAAAAGACAAATATATATGAGTACAATAAATATTAAAGGTCTTAATTTAAAAACAAAAAAATTAGTTAAATTTAAAGGAAAAATTTATAAATTACAATATCATCTTATTATTAATACAATAAAAGGGCTTACATCTAATCATAAATTATGCAAGATTTTTTTTTAAATTATAAAAAAGAATGGAAAGCTCGTAATATAAGTTTAAAATATATTTTATTTAATTTTATAATATTTAATAAATAACTAACTAAACAATTATTTGTACTTGTTAATAAGAATGGAACTTTGATACGAGTATATTCAGAACAAAACATTACAGAATAGTGGCATAAAAGAGAATCATCTTTTAGTAAAATTCTTGCAGTAATATTATATATAGATGGTATTACACTTGACACATATGGTCGATATTCAGAATACCCATATTTTTAACACTTGGAAATATCCCTAATTGGCGTAAGAATTTGCTTAATACAAAAGTTTTTATTAGATTTTTATCACTTTTGATTATTCAAGATAAAAAATTGTGAGATTCTAAGAGATTTAGACAGTTTAAATGAAATGTAAAATAATGTGCTTTAAAATATTTGTTAAGTCTACTTCTTCAAAAAGAAGGTATCTACTTAACAATAAATGAAAAAGTGAAATATTTTATCCTGTATATATCTACTATACTTACTGATATGTTAAAAGCATAAAATATTTGTTGTACTTACAAATCATATTGTGCAGCATGATCTTGTTATAAATGTCTTATATCAAGAAATTAGTTTAATAATATGTATATTAATAAAAATTCTATTATTTACAAATACACGAAAATATGCATGAAGTTGCTTTTTTTAATAAAGTTGCAAACTATTTAATTTATGAACATGATAATTTTTTCTGAAAATTTAGGTAAGATATTGAATATTGAATATTAATTTATGTCTATTTTATTATATTAATTATTTAAATTTTATATAATATATACTTAGGATGATGAATGTTTATGATGTAACAGCTTTAGACCGTATGTATTTAGGAAATCAGTTTATTTTTGTATATGCTTGACTTTATAAGAAATATGATTATGTGTTAATCAGGTAATCAGATTATTACTAAAATAGATAATTAGTTAGCTACTATTACACCATTTGATAGATTAAAAATATTGCATAATGAATGTCAACAAGGAGTAAAATTTATCAGAGCAGAAATGCGTGATGTTATGAAAATTATTATATTCATACTAGATGAACTTTATACAAGCGATGATAAAATTAAACACCAAAATGATGATACAGAAAATCTTTCTTTTATTGATTGTACAAAATTAATTCAATGTTTTATAAAATATATTAAGATGTATAAAACATCTAGAAAGGAAAAATTTAATGAGAATGAATTGAATGATTTTGAGGTAAGTTTTCAGTCATGTAATTTTTATTTTATTAAATTAAACTAATTTTTAATATTATATAATATAGCAAGAAATTATTGATTGGTTAGGTAATTTTGTTAAATTATTTAAATTATTTTCATCAAGTAAACTTTGTCTACCAAAATTTCATGTATGATAATATCATTCTATTCGAACTATTTGATATTATGGTTCACTTAATGGATTATTGACTGAGACATATGAAATATTATAAAGATTAGGTCAAAAATCCATATAGAATATCTAATAAAAATAATCCACTTGATCAAATAATCAAAGCAGTAAGTATTTTAATAATAATATATTTTTTACTATTTTAATAATAATTTTAAAGAATTTTTTTTAATTTTTTAGGTTTGCTGTCAAACAATTCTAACTATTCCAAAAAGATACAAGTTCCAAAATTGAAATCTATAAAGTCATTACTTTGGAAATTGTCAATTAGTAAACTACAAGCCTTTTGAAAAAATCTTAAACGTAAAAAAAGTATAGATAATTTATATATTGAAAAAATACGTTATCTAACTAATTGTTTAGATATTTATTTAGATGAAAAATCTAATATATCTGAATGTGAAGATATTTATTTAATATTTACGCTACAGAAATATTATCAAATGGGAATATTGTATATACTACTAGTAAGTTTTATAATCAGGCAAGATTTAGTGATATAGTAATTGTAATGAAAGATATTAATTATTTGACTAATGATGGACTTTATTATGGTAAAGTAAGTTTATATAATTAATATAATTAATTCTAATTAATTTAATATTATTATTTATTTTATTTTTTATTAAATTTCTTTTTTATTTATTATAAATATTAATGTTAATAGAAATTTCATTTTTTTCTAACCATCCTGTCTTTCTTGTTATACTAATGCATTGGTATGATTATTATTCTAGACGATATTCTAAAAAATATGAATATTCTCATATGAAATTAATAGATCAATATAACATAGTACTTTTTAATTCTATTATAAATGTAATACATATGGTAAAATGATTTGATTATAAAATGAATTTTTGTAAATAAATTTTAATTTTATTAATAATGAAAGTAAATAGGTTTATATAGTAATATTAAATAAATAAATAATAATAAAATATATGATATATTATAATAAAGCTAGTATTTATAAGTAAATAAAAAATTAAAATACATAAAATTTTAAAAAATAAAAAATAAG